TGCCGAAAGGTTATGAAAATTACATGTTGTGTTTACTCCCAGGTCTATTGGCGAATATTTTCCAAAATGAGATAATATGTTTATGAAGAACCATGTAACTCACTACCGACGTCTGTCTGTCGGTCTGTCTACGAATCCTATAATCACCTATAACTTGACAAGTACCTCTCAGATTCTGATGAAAATTTCACACAATATCACTACTATGCTAAGGGCACAAAAGCTTTGCAGTTTTAGAAAATAGGTCCAGTGGCGGCAAAAAAAGGCCTGAAACGGGAAAGATTAAAATCTCTCGAACTTCGTTTTTTAACATTTTAGAGGACCCTGATTTCTGAAAAAAATTAGACGTGAAAAAACTTGAGGGTGGCGAACATGGTAACTGGGGAAGTAAGTTGGCGTCTGTTCGGAAATCTACGTTGATACTTTCAAGGAGTCGCTAAAGCATTTCCATTACAGAACCCGTACACAATAATAATATCGGCGTACTCATCATTGCTAAATTTCATTTCACGATACTCAAAAATGGAAAAAAGAAACATTTGACTCGACTTTCACAAAAAAAAATGGTAGTAGTAACAATAACAACCGTATAACACATAACTTTGACAAGCTCTCAAAAAAAGTCAAGTTGGTATCAAGGCCTCCTATTTTATTTTGAAGCTAATTGTATATCGGCTCTTCATGAATGATCTAATTTGTTTTATTTTCATTTTTACGAAAACAGTGCACTCTGGGAAAAAACTCACGAGTGATTATTTGTAGCAAATTGAAGGTGAAATTCGAAAAATTGCGCGTTTCGAAAAAAACAGTGGCATACTATTTTTATTTGGAAAAATAATGCCACTAATCCCGTGTATCTCCGCCACTGATGCACGTTATTTTTAAGTAAAGACTTTTGAATGTGGACAATGCTTAGGTAAATCCACATACCAAATTTTAGTTCATTCCAGTTGACGGTTTTGAATATATACTAAGTGACATAAAAATCCGAACACCCAGTTTAAATGGTTTTATTTTAATAAAAGTTGGTGAATGTATTTATCTTACTGTAAATAACAAGTGAAAAAATTTTCAGCCTTATCAGTTGGACATTCCGGTTTTTATACTGCTTTCTTTTAATTCACTAACGCTCTAAAAATGAATATTTCAGCCGCAGTAAAGAATCGACGTTGGCGGATTTTGGTTCTTGACATCCTTTACGATAGGTTACGATGCCTAGAGTACGGAGACCTGTACGATTTCGTCAACTTAGTGAGCTTGATAGGGGCCGTATAGTGGGACTTCAGGAAGCTGGACTTTCTTTTCGGGCAATTGCAGTGCAAAGAAGTGTAGACACTGTGGTTAGATGTTGTCAGGCATGGCTTCGAGAAGGCAGTACGCAAAGAGCAAGGGGCACTGGACGCCGCCGTAGAACAACAGACCGTGAAGATCGCCGCCTAAGATTATTGGCCTCAAGGGACCGTTTCTCCACTACCAGGTCCATTGCAAATGAATGGTTTGCAGAACACGGAAGACCTATTGGCATGCGAAGTGTTTACCGACGAATGAGAAGTTTTGGCTTGTTTTCATACCGGCCACACTGGGTCCTCCCTTTAACTCGAGAACACCGACGTAATCGCCTTGAGTGGTGCAGACAACGGTCACTCTGGGATCAGGAATGGAACAGTATTCTCTTTACTGACGAGTCTCGATTTTGTTTAGGCATGCACGATGGTCGTGCCAGGGTTAGAAGGCGACGTGGTGGAAGGAGGAATCCACAGTTTTTTGTTGAAAGACATGTTCATCACACTGTTGGAGTTATGGTTTGGGGTGCTATAGCTTATGGTTCCAGGTCACCTTTAATCTTCATCAGAGGTAACATGAACGCGCAGCGTTATATCCACGAAGTTCTAGAACCCCATCTTTTACCCTATCTTGACACCCTGGCAGATCCAACTTTCCAACAAGATAATGCCCGACCACATGTTGCAAGAGTCACAATAGACTTCTTTCAACATAATGATGTCACATTGTTACCATGGCCACCAAGATCTCCCGACTTATCCCCAATTGAGCACGTGTGGGATATGATGGGTAGGAGATTGCTCAATTTGCAACGTCCTCCTCAGACTTTAGAAGCACTTCGAGAGGAGTTGGTGGTTGCCTGGAATGAGATACCACAGGAGGACATTGACCACCTGATCAGAAGCATGCCTAGGCGCGTTGGAGAATGCGTAGCACATCAGGGTGCATCCACACATTATTAAAGGTCAAAGGGCTTTAAAGCAGTGCAATCATTATGAAATTTTATCATTTACTTATTATGCTTCATTAAGTACTTATACAAAATTTTATTAAAATAAAACCATTTAAACTGGGTGTTCGGATTTATATGTCACTTAGTATATTAAAAAAATTGTTTTTTATTTTCAATCTTATCTTCTTAATGGAGCTCTTGAGGAAAAAAATGTTACATGGAAGACCCCCCCTTAAAATGCGGTCCTGTGTATGATGTTTCATTTTTGGTCACGACTTGTAAATCACCCTGTATGTTACTAAGTAGCACTGGCACATCATTAAGGAAAACCCTGTATACATATTGTATATAGCTATATTAGCTGATGAAATTGCAAAAATGTCTCCATCATAACCCGATGTAGCCTATTCGTGAAGAATATCTTCCATGAAACCCATCAATATTGACAAGCGTGGATGCAATGAGCTGTGAAAGAAATACTTGTTGTATTTGCAGATAAGCTTCTATAACAGCTTTGTCACTTCCAGAACTCAGGTTTCTTAGAATGCAGCTGGAGATGTATAGTCCAAGAAATATTAAACATGTCCAAGAAAGTTCAAATAAGTGGACTCTCACTTGCACATATATTTTTACGAGTTTGTCTTAGTCTTTATAGATTTAAATATGAACATATATTCGAGTATATCGTTGAAATATCATCTCTCCTCCCTCTCACTCTCCATCCTTCTGCCTCTCTCTATATATATACAGAGTGTCCGCAAAGTTGGGGTTTTCCTTTTCAGAAACAACTACCCTTGAAATAACAAAGGTAATGTGTAGTGAAACGAGGGCGACCAAGTAAAAAAAATAAAGGAAAAAGTACTCTCCAGTTGACGAGAAGGGCTAAGTACGTCTCTACCCGAAATCATACCACTCCAACAGAAAATGAAATCAGCTGATGCGCTACCGAGCAGACGCAGAAACCACATTGATTGTCTTACACTTAATGGCACATCTTCTAATAAGGAAGGCAAAATGTTGCGTAAAAAGTCTAGGTATTGCATCCCGTCCAATCGATTTGGGAGAATAAATGGTCCAATGAGCATACCGTTCACCATGCCAGCCCAAACATTCACCGAAAATGTTTGTTGAAAATGTGCCCGACAGACAGCGTGCGGATTTTCTACTGACCAAACATGAGTGTTGCGAAAGTTATTCACCCCATTACGCGTGAACGTAGATTCGTCTGTCACCAATATGCACTTCAAAAAGTCGGGATTATTATCATGTTGATGCAACAACCACTCACAAAACCGCACCCTTGTTGGAAAATCGTCAGGTTGAAGGGCTTGTACACGTTGGACGTGAAACGGATACAGCCCCTCCTCACGCAGCGCTTGCCACACTTTAGTTTTTGATACTTGCACTTCTCTAGCCACGTCTCTAGTGCTTGTTGAGGGATTCTCGTCTACGCGATTACCTCTACACGCGTGACCGTAACCGTCGGTTGAAGGTAGCATACTGACCTGACACACTGACCCCGACCCAGTTCTGTCGTCGGGTTGAGCCAGTGACCTTGTACCAGTCGGTGATGTCGCGGCTACAGGACGGTATTCAGATATTTTTGATGTTGCATAGCCCTTTATCTCGGTTCCCTTAAGACATTGGTGTATATGGTACTAAGAAAAATTGCTTATGTTTTCAAGATCTACACGTCGTGTAAAGGAAAACCCCAACTTTGCGGACACCCTGTATATATATTGAGACGTGGTCGTTGTCGTCTAGACCAGTTAGGTGAAAAATTAAAGCTTCCGCCTTTTGTTGGGTACTTCGACAAAAATTTAAGCAAAGAGAACTCTTTATACTTTTTTCATTCTCTCTAGTTTTCAATAGACTTTGCCATCATCATCAGGAGCTGCAATTACATTGATAACAGTAGCAACAATAGTGTAAAATGAATTTAAATTCACTTAACTTATAGTAGTATGTGAGGATGTTGCTAATTGTTGTTTACGTTCAGGATGAGGGAAACACCCAGTAACATGGTGAAAGCTGGATAAATGGTACAATGGTCAAAATTATATAAAATACATACAACTGTGTGACAAGAACAAGTTAAAAACAGATTAAAAATTTTTAGAACATGAAAGCATTACATCGTGAAGCCACTTGATGATTGCACAAAATGGTGGGCATGGAATAATGAGTAAGATGAACCCTTTGACAGATGGTCGAAGGTTGTCAGTGTCTGTGTAGAATGATGGAATGAATTATTTTGTGGGCGTGTGCTACGTTGCCAAAACACTTCAGATGATGAGATTTTCAAAATGTGTTATGTAAAGAACTCCAATTTTTTAGTAGCACAATAATAATCATATCTCTCAATATAAATAGCCATTGTTGAATCTACTAAATGTTAATGATAGATTTGAAAGTCAGTTTCCAACTTTCCTGGACTATCTGGAAAAACGATGTCTTATCCAGGTGTGTTTGCCAGTTTAACGAATGAATCTCCAATAGAAAATAAAATCGTATTCCAAGTTAGTAAACACAAACATGGAAACATATCTCTGATTACGCATAACTCGTTTTATTCCACGTAAAAACATAAATATGAAAGTTCCTAAATATATTCGACAAGACATTCTTTGTCAAGGGCCAGTGCTTGTTATACTATCATGCGAAAATAGATTGAGATCGATTTGTTAGAGATGGCTGATAGTTCTTAAAATGTAATTATGTCATGTATCAGACCGTGCTCGAAGATAATAATTAAACGCAAAACTTGAATCACTACTTTATTAGAATGTACCGTTAAACGAGATACAGGTATCATGAGTACAAAATTATTCGCATTCGTTCTGGCTAGCTACAGAATCATCTTGTCTCCAACTCTTCACTCCTTTCAGCTGAATGATCTCCTGCCAAGTTTCTCTCAGCGTCAGGGCCTCATTGTGTAATTCCCAAGTATTGGGCAGGATGGTCTTCAACAGCTCTACGCATGGCAAAACGATCACTAGAACCAATAAAATGGATGAGGATCTAACAAAAACTTTAAGGTTTACAATGTGATCGTCTTTCACATTTTTTCTGTGTACTCTAAAAAATGGTTCCTGGAGTTTCTGATCAGTCGGTATAATGTCATTAAAAATCAGTATAATATTATACTGTGTACGGGCACTGTGTACGGGTGTTTCAGTTTATTGTTGCATAACTTTAAGATTCGATAGAACTTTTAAAATTAATGCATAAAGTCTACATAAACATGGGTCGAAAAATGCGTGGCTTCCGAAATACAGGGTGTTTAAATTTACTTTCTAAAATAGTTTTTTTTAAATATTTCGTAAAAATTGGTAGACAATGGTTTCTTGGTACGACAAAACGAACCATGGGCATAGCTTTACTGTAGCCGCTAGAGGGCGCTCTCTACTGTACCTGTAGTGTATTAAAATGACCGAAAAAATTTTCTTAGTGCAATTTTTTGCTTTTTGAATAAAAAACTGATTCTTCCCACTTTTCAACATAAAAAAGCTCTATTGTGAATTTTTGTTATAGTTAGCCGTTTTGAGATATTTCGATTTTAAGGTTCGATGCATTTTTAATTACTTATGATAAAATAACGTTAAAAAGTCAGTATCTCGATAATCTTTAGAATTAGGCTGTGCCTGCAAATATTTTTGAAATTGAAAGCAGAATAAGGTTGACCGTCAATTAGTTGACAGTTAGTTTTGTTGTCTGTTGAAACCTTAAACGTTTTTTTTGCAATTGTGAATGCACGAAATTTAGTTTCTTTTGCCTGTTTTTTTTTTCTAAGTTTTATAAAAATGCCATTTTTATTCTCCAATCAAGAGTTAGCGGATATTCATTTTGTGTATGACTTTGTAAATGGAAACGCAGCAGAAGCAGCCAGAGAATACGCACAAAGATTTCCAAACAGACGACATCCAACTCGCTCAGTATTTGTAAGAGTGCATCGCCAAATAATTGAAAATGGTTTTGGAAATCTCCGAAGGGATCAAAACATAAATGTTCGTCAGCACAGATTTACCCGTATGATTCTGCGTGAGTTTGATAGAGATCCGACCACAAGTGTTAGGAGAGTTTCTGGGAATTTCAGCAAGCCATGTTCACCGTGTTCTTAGAAATGACCATAGACGTCCTTACCATTTGCAACCTGTGCAAGGACTACAGCCAGGAGACGGAGAACGAAGAATCACATTTTGTCAGTGGATTCCTGATAGAACTGATAATAATAGGGAGTTTTTAAGTAACGTTTTATGGACCGATGAGTAATGCTTCACTAGACGTGGAGTAGTAAATTTTCATAATCAATATATTTGGCCGCATGAAAATCCGCATGCAGTTCGGGAAAGAAATTTTCAGCATGAATTTAGTGTGAACGTGTGGATTGGTATCTACCGTAATCGACCATTTGGACCCTACCTTTTGCCTTCAAGGTTAAATGCTGCGACCTTCTTGGAATTTTTAAAGGCTGAACATGCAAATATGTGGGATGATGTTATGGTAGATTTAAGAAGATTGGCCTGGTTCCAGCTTGATGGTTGTCCAGCTCATTATTCGAGAATAGTTAGAAACTGGCTGGACGAAAATTATCCAGAAAGATGGATCGGCCGTGGAGGACCAGTCGCCTGGCCTCCACGATCCCCTGACCTAAATCCATTAGATTTCTTTGTGTGGGGATTTCTAAAAAAAAAGTGTACCAGACTCGCGTAACCACAAGAGATATGCTAATAGACAGAATCAGGAATGCATGTGATGAAATAAGGCCTTATTTGAATAATGCTATACCACGTTCGATCATTCGTAGATGTGAATTGTGTTATGAACAATTGGGTTTACATTTCGAGCAACTACTTTAGATTTTGTATGTTTGTCCTAACTATCCAATAGCATTTTAGTTGTAAATAATTAATTTAATTTGTTAAAAATAATATTGGAAAATTAAACAAAATAATATTGTTTTTTTGTGTTTATTTGGAGTTAGGAATTATTGCTGTGTTTAAAACCTCAATCTAAACGATCATCTCAACTACTTGTAATGCCCAAATCGAACATGTAAAAAAAATATTATTTTCCCATAAATAATTAAAAATGCATCGAACATTAGAAATCTAAATATCTCAAAAACGGCTAACTATAACGAAAACTCACAAGAGAGCTTTTTTATGCAGAAAAGTGCGAAGAATCAGTTTTTCTATTCAAAAAGCAAAAAATTGCACTAAGAAAAAATTTTCTGTCATTTTAATACACTACAGGTACAGTAGAGAGCGCCCTCTAGCGGCTACAGTAAAACTATGCCATGGTTCGTTTTGTCGTACCAAAAAACCCTTGTATACCAATTTTCACTGTTATACATCAAATATTGTTCGAAATATTTAAAAAAAACTATTTTAAAAAGTAAATTTAAACACCCTGTATTTCGGAAGCCACGTATTTTTCGAGCCATGTTTAAATAGACTTTATACATTAATTTTAAAAGTTCTATCGAATCTTAAAGTTATGCAACAATAAACTGAAACACCCTGTATAGTATGAAAGCTAGTTCCAATAAACATTATGTCATTAGAAATCGGTATAATGTCAACTTGTGTACTAAGTAGTCGCTAGCCCATCCCTCGCCTTCTCGTTATGAGCGCCATCTATGGAGGAATGGCATAACGACCGTCATTCTCGCCATAATAGAACATACAGCTTAGGCCATAGAAGCTATAAGTGGCCCTCACTAGCCCCATCTCTGACGCAAATGCACATCACATCAGTGTCATACCATATATCTCAAGTGTCATGACATTTAGGCAGGAAATATATACGTAATGTTACTAAAAATCGAAATAACGTCATTTTTTAAGTAACATACTACGGGTGCCGCATTTTATTTATTGGCCAGGGCAATATGCTGTCTGAAAATCTACTATGTTAGTAGAACTAGTATATACAATTATTTCTGGTTGCCCATAGCGCACTTAACCTGGATGACCAATACTTTCTAACTGGATTGATCTACCATTTTGAAGCTCCTTTAACTTAATCTGCAATCTTACCCGTCAAAAACTGCACCTGATCCTCGGGAACATTTGCTGACTTATCACGGTCCATCAAAGACAGCGGGGTTAAGCCCATTTTTTTCTCCAGGTCACCTTGATTATAAAATTCCCTATACACACCATCGCACAGATTCTTAGCCACTATAAATGGCTTGCACATACCAGACAAGTCGCAACTGCTTATCATGATAGACTTTATCAAAGTGCGATGCCGCTTGACGCTCCAATCTAGCCCTGTAGTGTTTATGATCTGAAAAGGACGGGGAAATCAATGAGAAAAACGAAAAAGAAATGAGAAAGAAGAAAGAAGAAAGAAGAAAGAAGAAAGAAGAAAGAAGAAAGAAGGAAGAAGAAAGAAGAAAGAAGAAAGAAGAAAGAAGAAAGAAGAAAGAAGAAAGAAGAAGAAGAAGAAAGAAGAAAGAGAAAGAAGAAAGAAGAAGAAGAAAGAAAGAAGAAGAAAGAAGAAAGAAAAGAAGAAGAA